GAACGAAACACCGTCATGTTGCTCAGAGACACAAAACAGCGCTGTGGCTGTATTCGGGATGATTTTTGTTGGCGAAATAGAGCAAAAACAAGCAATATGGTGTCTAAAACGTAAGTCTCTTAATTAACTTATCGTTTATTGAATTCATTGTCACATTTGTAATCATGGTAATTTTGGAGAAAAACGGCACTCTTCGTGTGAAATTGAATAACTATATGAAGTGGTATAAATATATACATTTTCTGCCATCATGTCTTGAATTTGTGATCATTCTAAATGCATTTTAACAGACTGAATCATGCAGTGAAAGAAAACACACTAAATGCGCACACGCACTAGTCTAGACTTCACGTAATGTATGCGTGCGCTCTGTAGAGATGTTTTGAATGGTTTTTGCAAAATACTCGCTAATGTCAAATCGCACATCGTTAAAACAACAATTACGATATTATCGCAGACGATATATATCGCACACCCCTACATCATACAGACAGAACCTGACGGACCTCCACTTACTCTCTCTAGTGTTCATTTTGTCAGCTATTTTCAACTCTAGTCTTAGTCTCGTGTTAAATGTCCTTGTTAGTTTTTCTCATGTGTAGTCAACCTTATCCTATTTTATTTTAAGTCAAGTTTTAGTAGACTAAGGCCCGGTTTCACAGACGGGGCTTAACTTTATCCAGAACTAATGGTGCATTCAAGTCATGTCGGATAGATCGTATTTAAGAGATGAACGCCACCACAAAGTCGTTATTACGAGTGGGAAACTAACTTTTCTTTAAGCCCCGAGATTCCGAGTTGGGGGCGTGTCAATGAGAAACATGGCGGAATCGATGGTGTCATATTAAAAAGGTACACCGCCATCTTGTGCCGACTAAACTGACTTGAACGCACCCGACGTCGTAATTACGACTTGTCAACTTGTAAGTACGAACGTCCCAGGAGGACTCGAACACAGCATAAGCCTTAGTTAAATTAAGATATTTAAGCAGCTTTTATAAAAAATGCCTAACACTACACGTGTGCATCTTGAGATGGAACGGACCTATTTTAAGATACGCGTCAGAGCAAGAGATTTTCAGTTGAGACCGCTCAAACATGCATTTTAGTCTGGGACCAGCCTTTGTAAAGTTTTTTCCAATTTTTCATTTCAATACTCTTTTTTTCCTATCGCAATAGATATCAAATAGTGGACTTCTATTGTGATATTATCATATGGAGATTTTGATGTCCTTGCATCCCTATTGCTTTTTATACGTTCCTATAGACTGAACAGGTAACATGGCATCGCCATCTTCACAAACTCACAGCTTCATAATTCAGAGACCATACCGGACCAGTTTACAAAGACCCCAAAACGCCATTGTCATGTAAACGAACAGCCAAAATGCATGAGAAGTTTTCAATTATTAGATGACTAATTTGTGAAGGCCATACTTTAGAAGTGCATAACTAACACGTGCTCAAACTCCTCGTGGCGTGTTCATGCTCAATGATCGTTATATTAATAGCTAATCAGCATCACAGGGATCATCTCTAGAGCAGTTGCTTTGGTGTAGTTCGTGCAGCTCAGATGAAGTCAGACTGGTATCAGACACTGAGCAAGATGATGCAAAGCAGGACCCCCACACACAGATCTCTTACCCCTTTCAGAGACTCGTAGCGATGAGACCGCGGCTTCTTGATGCCGTTCCTGTGCCACTTCCGAGCTACACACACACACACACACAGAGAGAGAGAGAGAGAGATCAGCTCAACATCCACAGCACCAGCACACAGCAGACCCCGCAGACACTTACACTGGTTGTGTGTGGTGTGGTTCTTCGACTTAGCCATTTCTGATCGTGGTCTGCTAACGAAGGAACAGAAGAGCACGTTCAGAAAACACATCTAAACCCAACAGATCGCTTTCACATAGTGCTACTTCAGACCGTTTCTGAGCACCGCACCAGTTTAGTGTGCGTCTGAAACTAAAGCCAAACTTGTTGAGCGCATCTGAGCGCCATGCTAGCAGCTAACCGCCAGCAGACGCTCCTTTCTCTATTTACTACACAATCCGCGCGCGCTCGGCCTCAATACCGCTCTCGCGCCGCGTGCTAGCACCCACTCAACACAGCACTGAACTCATGATTCAATACCACTCTTCATCTCTGGAGGATTAATGCAGATTTCTTTCATACGGAGACAAACTCAATACCTACCACACGAAGCGCACGACAACCGGAAGAGAGAGAGAGACAGCAAAGCGTTGTGGGAGATAAGAGTCCCTTTCGCCGGATGTGACGTACGACAAAACGCGACGCATTCGCAAAATGTAAACAAACACGGCTTAGAAACATGAATGTGTGA